ACTCACAAGCACACCTATTTATGTGACCTAATATGAAAGAGCATGATATTATTGTTCTTTCATCTTACAATGATATTTTACAAAGTCAGAAGTAGAGTGCGCACTTCTGCTCAGTTGTAACAATAGTTGTACAATCTAGGAAGCTAGGTTGAAAGCTTTCGATATAAAAACACAAATTGCCAAACTGGTAATCATATTCATGGAAAGCTTTATGAAACCAGTTGCCTTTGGCCCTCCACACATACATATCGTGTGGACTTTGGAGCTGGTACAGCACTGTATGTAATTTCAACCTACAGAACACCATTGGTATAAAAGGCCTTTGCAGAGGTTGAGGTCTCAGTCTCATTTGAGTACTCACCAAAGGAGCTGAAAAGAGAGAGACACAGCGAGCCCATCATGTGGGACTCAAAGCTCTGCCTTTCCTTTCTCCTTATCACGATTACCTCGAGTTGTAAGTATTCTTCTTTATTTCCCTTATGTTGCTTTTGATTTTTTTTAACCTAATCATCTTGATTATGACTATTTTTTTTACAGCTGCCCAAGAGGAGCATGTACCCTGCCTGTGTAAGTTCAATGTGCTGATATGATATAACAAACACCATGCAATGTGAATGGCAGTTCAATTTCAATGTAGAAATTGTATTGTGCCAATATTTTCAAGAATTCCTTTGTACTGTAAATTCCCTTGCTAAATTGTTATTGTAAGTTTACAGAACTCTAATGTAAAATCAATATCTTCTCTAAAAGTAAACCAGAGGTACAAACCCTACCACAAATATGAATACCTGTACAAAGCTGAGTCTTTGAATGCTATCAATGGTGCATCACAGCTCAAGAATGGACCTACGGCCACTTGCAAGGTACAAACATCTCACCATTCAATGTTCTCATAGATAAATTCCACACATTTCCTTTATCACATGGGTAAAGCTGTCATATATACGTTTTAAAACAGGTTGAAATCGAAGTGCCTCAGACTTGTAGTTTCATCGTCCGCACCACTGGTTGTAGCTTGAATGAAGTGGTTGACATGGATGTAGAGGGAAACCCTGTGTTCGGTCCCACGTCCAGCTCTCACAACTTTGCTGTTGAAATGGAGAGGTATTTTACATATACATTTTTCATTGAAGTGTTACACCAATTTGCATGAAGAAAAATTCTTCACAAAAAACATTTTCTAAATGCTGAAGTCTTTTTCGTTTAGATATCCTCTGAAGGTTGTGGTTGAGGGTGTATATGATGTGAACATTTACCCTGAAGATGGTGAGACAACAACCATTCTGAATGTCAAGAGAGGCATTATCTCTGCCCTGGCTGTTCCTCTGGTAGACGAAGATAAGAACAAGAACATGGTAAATCTCTTACTAGTGTGCCCTTCAAATGTTAACTTACATTAAAAAGACCCTAATGTAACAACAGAAAATAACAAACATCCAATGAAATGATATTCATATCTCTGTTCACACCCATTTTAGCCCACTATCCACGGCATGTGCAAGACCCATTACTCCAGCAACTCTAGAGAGGAGAGCACAACTGGCATAAGCCTCACCAGAGATCTGTCCACATGTGACAAATTTGTCCCAATTAGAGATCACACCAGTCCTCTGGCACTTATCTCTGGGATGGTAAGATCTTCTAGTGACACATGGGAGGGCTTGGTTTGAAAAAAATACTTTTTTGCTCACAATACTTTTTCCGTGTTTCAGCACTACCCTCTTGCCCAGTTGATCAGAAGCTCCCAGACGTGTAATTACAACTTTGACAATGAGAAGAAACACATGACCTCTGGATCCTGCACTGAGATACATATCCTCGTTCCCTTTTCACACAAGTGAGTCAATCTTTATGGATCAATCTACACTACTCTATTATGTAAGTACATGTACTGATAAGTATTACCCAAGCTTTCTACAATACTTTGAACCATGCATTGCATCTGCACAGGGGAGAATACGGAGTTACCAATGTTGGAAAGCAAGAACTGACTCTGGTTGAGGTTTCTCCTCACAATGACAGAGTTTTCGACCACAGTAAACACATTTTTTTCACTTTCTTCTTTTTTATTTCAATAAACGAAATGTATAAATAATTAATACTTACCGTTTCCTTCTGCATAACAGGTGGCATTGTCAAGGGTCTTCACATGGAGGCTGTTGAGGACAAGAGTGTTGTCCAGGATAAAGATGCAGGTCTGAGCCTCCTGAGAGAACT